CACCCCCCCACCCCCAGATGAACATGTCGCAGCCTTCGTCCCGCCCCTTCATCTCTCACCTCCAGCTGCAACATGCCGGGCTCGAACTCCCTGTCAGCGAAGATCTGCCGGAAATTGAGCACGTTCATGTCGTCGAAAGATTCCACGCTCAGGTCCGACAGCCGCAGTTCCCACGCCGCCATGACCCCTGCACACCAAGACGAAAGAAGCAACGGGCAGATCGACATCATCACTCACAACTACGCCGACCACGACAAAACCAACTGTTCCTACAAGGGATCACAAAGGGGACAACAACCCAAACCCCCGCCCCGCCAAAAGTAACGCCAGAAATGCACACAAAGACCCATCCAGTCGCATACATTCAGGCAAAAAAAAATCAACACAAGCAAACTCGAATCGATTCACTGATGGCTAACAGCCTACAACCAGCGGTGGTCATAGTCCTCAATTGATTTTCGCACGTCGACGTAGTAGGTGAAGAAAGCTGGTTGTAGTAGGTGGTTAACGTGTGATGCTGCGTGCATTCGTCCATCACAAACGGACTCGGCGCATGCCAGGTTTTCATGATGGCCACTGTTCGGCAATAGCATTGCTACCGTGCCAAACAATGAAGGGCTACTCCTTCTCTTTACCACGCTAAATTTTAAGCTGTAGGGGGCACCTCCAACATCCTGCCCCAATTGACACTCCCCCGAGAAAACCCCTCCCCTCCGGTATTTGCGATCAGGGTTGGGTTTTCGTCGCTTGGCAACGACGTTGTAAAACAAGCCAATTCACTTCGTGAACTCGGCAACCAGGTTACCGCTTTTGTTTTTTACCTCCGTTTTCTTTTTTTGGCGGTAACCATAATGGTGGTCGAGTAGATCATGTTGTGCGGGTGGACAATCCTCACTCCGCGCAAGGGGGATAATCGCATAACGTTGTGTTAAAATGACCACGCATCCTCGAGGCAGTTACACAGTGCTTACAACTGTCTCTGGAAGTGAATGCACCAGAAAATAAATTAAGTCATACGCAGCTGTCATCCGTACGCAAGGAAGTAAGCACAAGATGCCGAAAACCCTTAGCAGGATGCAGCGCACCCTTCATGCGACTCGCCGAATATCTCACGGCGCTTCGCGCTTGGTGATGTGAGAGCCTGGTCCGGTGAGAACCCGGCGTGCTCCGTCCCGGCTTTGTAGGGATGCGAGGTCTATGGTCTAACGACTACGGCATGCACGACTATGAGTACACCCCCCCCCCGAGAAACCCCTGTTGAACACCTACGAGACGGGGGGGGGTATTACTCATAGCCCTGCATGCCGCAGCCGCCAGACCATTGACCTCGCATCCCCACAAAGGCGGGACGGAGCACTTCACTACACTAGGGCAAGCACATCGCCAAGCGCGAAGCGCCGTGAGACATTCGGCGAGTCACATGGAGGGTACGCTGTATCCTGCCAAGGGTCTTCGAGGCGGGGGCGGAGGAGGGGGCCAAACACTCACCTATGCGGCAGACGCCCCTGAGGTCCGCATCGTGAGCCTTGATCATGCCCTCCGGCCGGCAGTCGAACGCGCAGCACTTCATCGTCGATCTCTGGATCTTGAGCGCCGCCTGTAGCATTGGGTAGGACAACATTCGCCGTATCGCGAGTTAGGATTAAGATAGCACTCACTCTAGGGCACCACGGCCAGGAAACACGCGAAACAACTGGCGGGAACAACCCCGCCGCGGGTGCGAAAAACACGTTGCCGAGAGCTGTGAATGTAGGACAACGCGCGGTACCCACATCGTTGGTGCGCTGCTCGTTGGCACCTTGGACGAACCTTCTTGATCGATCATACCCTCAAGACTACGGGCATGGAATTGAAAAAGGTGACAGGCGGTGGAACTGTTGTTTTGAATTCAGCAAAGATAGAGGCAATCGGAGCGGCAAAGCAAAGTCCTGTATCCACCGCACACATCGATCTCCCTCCACCATCCCTTGCCGCCGTCACGCGCGTGCCGAGGTCTGCCACGATGGCCACAGGCATCCATCCTTACACCTCCGACCGACCGCTCCCCCTTGTGAGCCCATCCGTACCATCATCGCAACCAACACACCAAACGCTTGGCGGTGTGGGGAAAAGAGCACCCGTTGTCCACAGATTTCATGAACGCCTCCGTCGTTTCCTTACAACATGCAGTATACATCAATGAAAGAAAAATACACATGATCTCAATCCCCCCGTCAGGGGTTGGCGGTTTGCCGTTGTTGCAATGCGACACGTTACAGGACGACGACTACCGTCTTTCTTGCCCCTGCTGCTGCTGCCGTCGTCACAAATTCCGAAAAGGGTCTGTACGTTTCTGTAGGATATCGCAAGTGTTCACGGAACTCACAGAATTTTCGGGCATCGGGTAGGTAAAACAACCAAACAGACAAAAATCGTGTTTGTGAGAAGGTCGCACAAAACTCACGGAACGCTTCAGGTAGGCGCAAAAAAGTGTCAAACACAAACCGGGTTTCTTTGCGAATTTCGCGGCGGCGGCGGCGGCTCGCGCTCACCAGCATGTACCCCCGGTAATCGTCGTAAGGCTCGTCCTCGGCGGTGACCCTGTGCTGGTCCTCGAAGTAGCCGGACAGTTCCGTCTTCTCGAGGACCGCGTCGACGATGGCGCTAGGGAGCCGAGATAGCACCTGGGCACACGCAAGACGGACAGCAAAAAGGGGGTAGTGGTGAGGGGTGTGTGAAGGGCTCCATGGACGAAAATTCGCATGACAAACAGGGGGGTCTCCCACGACAAAAAGGGGGCGGGTGCGTGTGAGGATTTCGAACGAAAGGAAGGAGGAAGGTGTTGAAAGGGATGTGTGAGGGGAGGGAGGGTGGGTTCGACCGTCCGAAACGAAAACATTATCCAGGTTCCCGCCTATACCGCTTCATCTAGTACGCGCGCAAGGGCAAGGAGTCCCCACGGCGGGGTATGTGACGCACAGTATGCTGACAAGCAGTTCAGCCCCCTCCAAATACAAAATTAACAAGAAGAACACAAGCGTCTCGTCCACACAACCACCAACGGGATAAAAATTTAGGTACTGAACGATATGACGATGATTTCGCGGCTAACGGGCAAAGGATATCGAAAAACGAACGTCGCGAATACCCGCCGTACAGATGTATTCAGAAGTTGTGTCTCACGACGCCAACGAGACCCGCGCGGGGAAGACGACGATGGTCTAAACGACAGATTGTACACGACAAACAGCCGAAAAAAAGAATACGTGAAACATCACTTCGCGCCATTGACATTGTAGCAGCAAAATTATGATAAAACATCAACCGCCATAGGCATGATAGCCACAAAACAAAATATGAACATTCACTAACCGCCATTGGCATCGGTATTGTCCTCAGCGTCTCCAGCCATCGCCTGCTTCCGCGCGTCTCCTGGATGAAAAAAAACAACGGGAGGTTAAAAGCAACAAAAGGGGAAAGAAACGAGAGACAAAAACACGTGGTACACGTCCATCGCGGAAAACTATCAATGCATGGAAATCAGTCCGAGAAATGGTTCGTCAACCCTTGGCTTCGACTGTGGTTTCTGCTGCAACACGCAACAATTAAGGAGGAAATCACATGCCGAAAACACAAGAACGAAAACAAGAGGGCCTTCGGCCCGAGAGAGCAAAGAGAAGGCACGTCTGCAAAGAGAAGAACCTTAAGCTTGGCACGTGCACCTTGCAAACAAAAACCTCATGGCAAAGTGCGGTCCTGGAATGAATGGAGACATCAAGCCATGGCGAAATCTTACCCGGCACGGGAGCACGCAAACCATGTATCTAATCGCTTCATTTGACCTGCTACGCCGCCAAAGGTGGCGCTTAAGGTCGATGCAACATCGACAGAAGGACGCGACAGCCGTGCTATTGGTCACTCACGCACGCACTCACCGTTGGCTGGTACTTGAGGGCTTGCCGGAGGATCTGCACAAGAAGCGGAGGCGGACCCAACCACAATTTTCGGATCGCGGAAAACCGGGCGGCGGCGGTGGCGGCGGTGGGAAGGAGACGGGGACTTGCGTTACAGCTGAAACGACAACCTACGAGTACTCTTCGTTCTCTAATCTCGCGTCATCGGGGACAAACCACTTGGCCTTTCCGAACGGACCTCCTAGTTTGATGATTGCTAAGCACAGGAATGCTTGACAAGGTTGGTTGTGAGACCATAAGGGCCCCCCTCCTACTCCCAACTTGTTCAGAACCCCCCAGCTGCCGAAGTACCTACGCCAGCAGGGCGGGTCTCGCAACCGCTCTGGGTGCCATCAGGCAAACAAGGGGCATGTGGTGCCACTCCCACGAGCACTTCGCGCTTCCGGGAGTCTTGAGCGCACTCCCAGATCGAACCAGCGGCTTGTTAAAGCCGATAACGCGGGACGGCATCAAGCAGCTACTGTGGCTGCCTGCCCCCGCAAACATCGCACACGTCTTGAACTACGGGGTCGACATCGTACGCCATCGCCATTGAGCGCAAAATTGTCAACATTGCGTTACGGGCAAAATGAAAAAAACGCACAGCAGCAGCAGCAGCAGCAGCAGCAGCAGCAGCTCACTTCGTACCGTCCTCTCGTAGATCTCCAGCCCCCCCTCCAGCTCCTCCTGCGTAAGCCTCCAGTTGAACTCCCGCAGGAACATCTGCTCCGGCGTCCAGCCGTAGCCCCGCTCCACCGTGTGCAGAGTGGGGGCGTTCTGGTTAAGAGCTCGCGCCACCTAACGAGCGTGCAACAAAAGGAGGAGGAGAAGGAGGAGGAGGAGGGGGCCCGGGTGAATCATGCGGAACACGGGGGCTAGCAGGGGCGTGGGCAGGAATCATCTTGAATGTGTACCGTGTGTCGGGTAGACAGAGTGTTATCGATATCCGCTTGAAGTTGTTCGGGGCTCGGATGAATACGCGCAACTGCTGCGTGTTTCTTCTTCCGGCTGTGTGTGTGTGTGTGTGTGTTTCGTTCTGATGGAAAACAATGTTGGCATTTAGTTTGATCGGCTGAGGCTAACAACCAGCCAGTTAGCGCGTCAAATCAAGGCTCGCAGGAGCGGTGGCACCCTGCTGACGGTGACCTTCGTTAGGGGAGAAACAACACGTTCTAGCGCAGGACGAGACGCAACTCCGTGTAGAAGCAACCCACCTCTGCCTGACACCCACCCAGTCAAAACGCGCCTGGACGCATCTTGGAACAACTGATAGCCACAACACACTGCAACACCTCCACCGGCGCCAACAAGGGCACTTTTGATGTAAGGTATGGTTGGCCAGGTTCCTTCGACACTCCCACGACTCGCAATACCCCGGAGTTCAGCACGTGTCATCCAGGCCTCGCTATGGAAAAACATTCCAACATATGCCACGTGAGAATTGTCTCAAACGGGTAGTTATTGTGTTGCGCCATTAGTTTTCCAGCAAAAAAAAATACCGCCTGAGCAACGCAGGACAGATGAAACAGGAGGCGACATTCACCAGGACACCAGGCTAGAATCAGTGTACAACACGATGTCCAACAATAACAAGTTTCTAACGGCACAAAACACGCCATGTTTGGCGGCGGTTACCAAATCACCTCTAGCCATGCTGGGTAAATGAGGCCCGGGATAACGTCCACCAGCGTGTCCAGCTGGAACACTGCCCCGTACGACGAGTCGGGGTTGGTGTTGTACTGGTGCCGCTGGATGTTGTTGGGGTCCATGATCTCGTTGATCCTGCAACGTTGTCGTCGTAACCGCGACCGACACCCGGCAAGATCCATTTGTGCCAACCCACCCGTGCACGCGTTGGGGGGCGAGAAGAGCGTGACAAAAGAGCAGTGGGGTCGAGTCATTGGGAGACGCTACTAGGTACGAGGGCGCTGAACGGCAGTTAAACAGAGCATTGAGACGCATCTTCCACTACAGTCAGTCCACCAACAGCACACCCAGTCCATGCAGCAACAGTGGGAGCATGACGACGCAAGGACGCTCAGAGAAGCAAGCGTGACTGAGGAAACCGTAAGAAGGCCACCCTACACCCAAGCATTTGTTCATGTGCCACACTCTCCACTGTTGCTCGGGACACATGCTGCGTGAGCTCTACCCCTGTATCATGCTGTCTGACTCCGTTGGCTCGAGAGATTCAAATGGTGCACGGGTGTGAGCGAACGCACGAGCACCATAATTGCACCCAGCGTGTATCGAAACTACCTTTCGGTCTAGGATCACCGAACATTCTGAATCCTCACGTTCCGCCTCGATTTTCCAGCTCAAAACTGCCGTCATCTCGGGTGAGACATCCCGGCGATAAACGGAGGCAGCAGCGTCGAACGTAACTGTACCTTGCCCGACGCAAACAGTTCGCGCCGGCACAAACCAACTTGGACGTCGAACAATGAGCCTGGTAGAAGGACCCTAGGCTATAACCTACAAACGGCCGTATGTAGCACAGCATCTGCCAAAACCACAGTATCTTGGGTTCGGGCGCAAACTGTAGGTCTGCTTCGCCGACACTATGAAAATAAACACCTCACCTCCCGGGGGTCAGGAAAGGGTCCTTGATGAGCTCTTCCACTCTCATCTTCCTCCAGCTGTCATGGTGCGAGCTGTCGTTCTCGTCCTCGGCCGGCTCCGCCGCAGGGTGCCACCCCCCCGTGACTACCCCCACCCCGCGCACACGCCCAACGTCTAGACCGCCGCCGGCAAAGCCGCCGCCGCCGCCGCTAGCGCTTCCGCCGCTCAACCCACCCAACCCTGGAGCCCCTACTGCTTCAGGATGACGACGCCCTACCCATGCGGACTCTGGGAAAGTAACGCCCCCTCGTATCCCGTTCACGGAACTCCCCGTGATTTTTTGTTCGAGGCTTTCCATGCCGCCGCCGCCGCCGCCGCCGCCGTTTACAGTGGTAGGGCTGCTCTCGCTGCTGCTGGTGCCAATATCGATACCGATGTTGGAGCCGCCAACGCTGAGTACCCCACCTTCTGCTGCATTGCCACCGCCGCGTTCGCCAATACTTGTCGGGCGGCGGCGACGCCGTCGGCGAACGGAGGAGTGAGACGGAGAGACTGCGGTTGAGTCTCCTCCTAAGGCGGCGCCAGGGGCCGACGGTGTGTGCACCGGAGCCGCTGCTAGTTTCATCGACAAGGTCTGCCGACATGACAAAACGTGTAGGGGCAATAGGGTGCGTGTACTTTCATGTTGACATGCATTGCAGTCGTGATGTACTGGGGAGGTGGAGAGGCAACGGGTGCGTACTACAGTTGTACTCTCGTTGTCATGCATTGCAGTTGTGATGTACTGGGGTGAGTATACTCGCATCTCGTCCCTTCTGCAGCCTTTAAGGCAATGACTTTCTTGCGGCGTTCCGACATCAACCGCGATCTGCGGCAGTGGATTCAGGTCGTGGGGGAAGAGGGTAGCACAGCGGGCTTGTGTTCGCGTCCGCGTTTGGTTGTCTCGAGCACCTGCTTGTTTCGAAGCAATGTTGAGCAGGTGCCGTACACCCCTCTGGCGGTTACGCCTCTTTCCAAGCTGGCCGGCACTACTGCAGTCGCGTTGCACAGGCAACGTCCAAGTAGCGCACGGTCTGAGCGACGATGAGAACCAGATGGTGGTGGGTACGAAAGCTTGAGCTTGCCGTGTGTATGTCTCCACGACAGCGCCCAACGGGGCATACGCAAACAAGAACTGCTGTATGACATCTGGACGAGAGAATCCGAGCAGGAAAAAAGTGGCCGCGTACCAAACACCGGACAGGCAGTGAGCCTGACGCCATTGAGCAAGCCTGACACCATCGTCGGCGTAAGGCATATTGGGCAGAAGTATGGGATCTTCTCTCGCTGCTAATTTACTGCGCGAGGAACGAACGAGGGTTGGGTGTAAGGTATGCTTGCCCTCAAACATGCCGCGTGTTCCGGATGTCCTTGTCACTGGAACAAGCCAACACAGCAGGCTGAACATGACACTGCTCCCGGAGTGTTTGGAAGCTCCGACGCACATAAACTGCCCACCTACCTGAACCCGGTGCTTCGCTGCAACTTCCCGGCCTCCCCCGGAGACAAACCTACTCGTCGGCTTCGCGACCGCTCCAAACGCCAGCAAGGAATTCGTGTTGATGCGGCTGCTGCTGCTGTAGAGGGGCGGAGTGCAAGTAGCAGCTCCTCTGACACAGCTCCCCGCTGGACCAGCAGATGTTGCCGTCACCGTCATCGCCATGGCCACTATCAGTGCGGCATACGGCGATTCGTGGCTTTGATGCACGCATCTATGTCTCGTACCACGTGTCATCAGGTCGTGGTGCAATGCTGTGTGAATCTGCACGCGGTGGAAAAAGCAAAAAAAAAGGCCCCACGGGGCTCCGTACATGGTAGCTCAGCAGACACGGTACCCGGGAAGGGGCCAGCACAAAAAAACTCGCCGCGCCATGCGCGCATGCCACGAGAGCATTACCTTTGGGGCCAGAGTTCTCAGCACACACAGCCCGGACCGCGACAAAGCCTACGGAGTACAGGAAGGAGATCACGTTGAACCTCGGTGAGTGGTTGGTATGTCCTCGTTATTCTCTTGGAGCGCGTAAGGTGGAGTGCTTTCGTCAAGAGTTTTTTCCGGCACCCTCCGTAAATGACAGCAGCGCCGTCGCACGAGAAGGTCATCTTCAGACGCTAGGTCGGCCCCGAGGAACGAACGAAATCGACTGGCGATTTCGTTCCCCAGTAGGAATGTGACAAAAGAAGCCTCCAGGGGTTGCCCTAATTTTGGATCGCCACTACCTGTGCCGTAGTCGCGACGAATTGAACACCATGTTCGTGCGGTGTATCTTGCGGATTCTCCACCCCCTGCGTCGGGTCTCGTGTGTTTGTAGTGAGGGGTAAGGCGGTTGTCACGATGACACCAGCGGAGCTCACTCGCACTATGTA